CTGGCTCTCTGTCTCTGCTCTGTCCCCACATAGCCTTTAATGTTCCTCTCTTATTTGGGAGCTACTGATTTGCTCTTCTGGTGTGGAGAGAAGTGTGGCTGTGAGGAGAGGACCCTGTCCTTGGGGAGCTCCCAGACCGGTGGGTCAGGAGAGGGGGACTGGGCCCCCTCGGTGGGAGAGGCTACTGGGTGGCCATGACTGGTTGGTAGCACTTTGTCAGGCAGCTCCCTGGAGGAGACAGGGCCTTGGGTGCCTAGTGGGCCTCTACGCCCCCCTGTCTGCCCTGCCATCTGTTTCCAGGAGGACACACGGGCTCAGCGGCAGCGGCTACAGAAGCACCTGGCTGAGCATCTGCGCCACACCTGGGGCCGGCCAGGGGCCCCTCCACAAGCCCGAGACCTGGGGGAGCTGCTGCAGGCCTGGGGTGCTGGAGCCAGGACTGGTGCTTCCAAGGGCTCCCGCTTCACACACTCAGAGAAGTTCACCTTCCATCCCGTGAGTGTGTCTCAATGGACACCGGCGTGCTGATGGGGCCGAGGCAGGCTCACAGGGTTGCTCTGTGTACAGACAGCACACTTTGTCCACACAGGTTTCTGTGTTCCCAATGGGCATGCCCTCTCCGCACTGGGGTGGATACCCAGAGGGGTCCCCTGGGTTCTCAGGGGCTTCAGTGGAGAGAGGGTGGAGGGCAGGAGACCATGTAAGGGTGTTGGAGTGCTCTTTGTGCAAACCCCAGCTTCCCCCAGACAGTCTCGTCTGGAGATATCTTCTGTCCTTTACCCAGAAGGGTGCTGATCCTTCTCATGGGAGGTGGGCGGGAGCTGTCAGGGTCAGGGAGGTTTCTTTATGAGCAAATGCTTCCAGCCTGTGGTCTCAGAGAGTGCCTGGGTCCTTATACACTCAGTCTGACAGCTGTCGGTGGTTGAGTGGACATGAGGATGGTGCAGGGAGGGCACTTGGAGGGGGTGCTAAGGCTGGGTTGGGAGGGGCAGGGCCTTTCCTCAACAGTCAGGATACTCCCTTCTCACTCCCCCAGGAGCCTGAGGCCCAGGCAGCCCAGGTGTCTGACATGCCGGCCACCTCCCAGCGGCCTGAACAGGTAAGCGGAGCAGTGGCGGGGGTTCTGGGCCCTTGCCTGCCTGCTGGGCCCGACACCCCCATCCAATTGGCCTGTGCCTCCCAGGACACACGGGCAGCTCAAGAGCAGGAGCTGGAGTCTCTTCGGGAACAACTGGAGGGAGTGAAGCATAACATTGAAGAGGTTGAAGCCAACATGAAGACCCTGGGAATCAGCCTCGTGCAGGTGGGAGGTGGGGTTGGGTCACAGTGGGGCCTAGAGGGACTTGAAGGGGCTGAGAGGACTCTGTAGGGGTCTGCAGATGTTAGAAGGGTTCACAGGCGACCTTGGGGACCTGTGGGCTCTTGATGATTCAGGAAAACCAGTGGGGGTGAGAGAGGGATGTAGGGTCGGGGGGTTGGACCTATGGAGTTGGGTCACCTGTGGGCATCAGTCAGGCCATGTGTGTGTCTATGAGAATCAGGAGGGGTGCGAGCATCTGTGGGCATCTGTGTGGGCATGACAGATCTGTGTGGGCAGGGGCTGGTGGGCCTTGTCAGGGTTCCTGGGGGCCATTGTGGACGTGGAGGGGTCAGAGGGGACTATGGGTGTCTCTCACCGCTTGTAGGTTTCTGTGGCAATCAGGACGGGCCAGGGGGCCAATAGAGGGTAAAGGGATGTGTTGTCATCTGTGGGGGCTCAGGCTAGGCTAGGGCTTTCCAGGCTCAGTGGGGGATGTGGTGTGTCGCTGGGCTCCTGCAATGATGGCAGTGGGGGTCACGGGTGCCAGGTGGAGACCGAGTGTCGGCAGAGCGAGCTGAGCACGGCGGAGCGTGAGCAGGCCCTGCGCTTGAAGAGCCGGGCTGTGGAGCTGCTGCCTGACGGTGCTGCCAACCTCGCCAAGCTGCAGGTGGGGCTGGTGCCATGGCTGGGTGGGAGGGTTGGAGTCGGAAGGGTCCAGCCTGTGTGACGGGTATCCCCTACCACCACCCCCACCTAGCTCGTGGTAGAGAGTAGTGCCCAGCGGGTGATCCACTTGGCGGGTCAGTGGGAAAAGCACCGGGTCCCTCTCCTGGCTGAGTACCGCCACCTCCGAAAGCTCCAGGACTGCAGAGAGGTAGGTTGTGGGGTCCTGGGCTGTATGTGGGGGGCAGGTTCAGTCCCTCCCTAGGGGGCCATCCCTGTGCTCTGCTCACTGTCCCTCTGCCCATGGGGTCCTGGCAGCTGGAATCTTCTCGGCGGCTGGCAGAGATCCAGGAGCTGCACCAGAGTGTACGGGCAGCTGCCGAAGAGGCCCGCAGGAAGGAGGAGGTCTATAAGCAGCTGGTAAGGCCTGCATGGGGAGCCCTGGGTGGTTCGGAGTGGGTGGGGGTGGGGGTCCCAGGGGAATGTCTGCTGTGTCCCCACCTAGGTATCAGAGCTGGAGACCCTGCCTCGAGACGTGTCCCGGCTGGCCTATACCCAGCGCATCTTGGAGATTGTGGGCAACATCCGAAAGCAGAAGGAAGAGATCACTAAGGTGCACCATCATGGCTGTGGAGGGTTGGGGCACACGGACAGGCACGCCCAAGGGGCAGATGTGTGTAGCATGGCCACATGGACACCCCACTCCCTCCGAAAGGCAGAGCTGTGTAGCCATACCCCAACACAGAGCGGTCCTACCCAGTCCACTCCAGCCACGCCCGATGCAGTGACTCACACCCTGTCTGGATGTGAGAGCATGCGCACAAATGCCCTCAGCTGGCCGGCTAGTCTGTGCCAGACATGGGCTTATTGGCTACACTGTTCTCCACCAGATCTTATCGGACACAAAGGAACTTCAGAAGGAAATCAACTCCTTGTCTGGGAAGCTGGACCGGACATTTGCAGTGACTGATGAGCTTGTTTTCAAGGTGTGGGACAGGCTGGGCCAGGTGGAGGGGTGGGGGGCGCTGCTAGGCTACTGCCTGCCTGTCTGCTCACAGGTTGGCTTGGGTCTAGGCCCTGTGTGAGCCTTGTAGGTGCACTGCTGCTTGGGCCTGGCTGTGTGCCATGGAGGATGAAGTCAGGGGAGTGGGAGAGGGTGGCCTTGTGCGGTCCTGGAGGTGGTAGACGTGGGGAGCGTGGGGGAGGCCCACTGATCCCTTCTGTCTGGTCAGGATGCCAAGAAGGATGATGCCGTTCGGAAGGCATACAAGTATCTAGCTGCTTTGCATGAGGTGAGTGGAGAAGCGTGCCTGGGGCTGCCTGGGGTGGGGCATGGTTGGGGTGCAAGCCTTCTGCTCCTGCCATCCCCAGAACTGCAGCCAGCTCATCCAGACCATCGAGGACACAGGCACAATCATGCGGGAGGTTCGAGACCTTGAGGAGCAGGTGAGGCTTGGGGTAGGAGGGGAAACCAAGACAGGCCAGTGGACAGCAGCTTGGTTAACATCACGAGAGGCTGTGGGACTGGACACAGCCTGTGGCTGGACTCTCAGCCATGCCCCTTAGTAGCTGTGTGTGTGTAAGCTGGCATAGGCCAGTGGCCTTCTCTGAGCCTCAGTTTCCACCCCAGAGGTCTTCACACCTGCCTCCCAGGGCTTCAGCTTGAGTATGCGGTGGCTAATCCTGCCATATAGCAAATGATGCTTTAGGTGAACAGATGACACGTGCAGAGGCCTGTCGGTGGGACACAGCAGGCTGTTGTTGGAGGAGGGTGGGGGGAGCACGGGAGGGGCCTTGAGTGGCCTCCATGGAGGCAGGGTGGCGAACAGGAGCTGGAAAGGGGGCCCGGCCCACTGAAGGGATGCGATTCGCGTTGCCTTAGATCGAGACGGAGATGGGAAAGAAGACCCTCAGCAACCTGGAGAAGATCCGCGAGGACTACCGAGCCCTTCGCCAGGAGAACGCTGGCCTCCTGGGGCGGGTCCGTGAGGCCTGAGGAGCCCCCAGCATAGGTCTCCTTCTGGCCTTAGGCAGGGATTTGGGATGTTGGGGGCCATGGCCAAGCGCTTGCCCTAGCCATTCCCTCTGTTGGCTGTGCAATTCCTCCTGCTATGGCCTTAGCTCCAGACCCCTGCCCACCTGACCCCAACCCTTATCTGGGATGATCATCCAGAGTGTGGGAATTTGGCTACAGTTTATTGGGGTTAGGGCCTTGGATCCTGAATAAATGAGGGGCTCTGACTGCAGTCTAAGCTGAGGCATGGATGGGGACGTAAGGCACAGAATGGGGGAGGTGGGGTGGGTGACAGGAGAGGCATGGGGTATATTTGGTGATTCAGTGTGTGTGTGGCTGTGAAAGCCCATGTGGGACTCAGGAAATCCACTGTGGCGCTGTGTGGGTGTGCGCACACGTGAGATGCACAGGTGTGTTCTGATGGGCTGTGTGACCAAGAGGATTTGTTCCGAGCTGCCGGAGGATGTGTGTGACTGGTATGTGTCTGTGTGGTTCTTTGGGTCCTGAGATCCTGAAGCTACCAAGGCTGCTTGGGCACACCCCGTGTGGCCCTGTACCTGTGGGCCTGGAGGATGGTTGTGGGTGTGTGCTTTGGGGTATGTGGGCTGACAGAACTGTGCTCAGGTGCGATCGTCTGCGTGATTGCAGATTTGAGGTTGCCTGGGTGTGCTGTGGCAGGCTCTTTGTGTTTTGGTGCTTGTATTGCATCCGAGGGACAGGACTGTGACTGTCTGTGTGTCTTTTTGAGCCCCCAGGGTCATCTGGGAGAGTGACTGAGGCAGGCCATGTGTGTGGTTGGTTGCAAAGGCTCAGTTTGGCTAAAGAGCTTGTAGGAAGCCAGGCCTCTGTGAGCAGCCTTGGTGCAGAGCATATGATCTAGGAGGGTAAGTCAGCTGAGGATCAGGGTCCCTGGCAGGCAAGACTGCGCACCCCTCACTTCTTGGTCCCTGTGGGTACATCTGGGGCCTGCCACCCCTGCCCCAGGCCACTTCTACCACCCCACCCCGTCCCCCGTTTCGGCCCCTGTCCTTCCTTCCTCCTTTCCTTGGTCTTGAGATTAGGGGCCAGGTGTGGGGTTGGAACACCTGCTGGGCCTCTGGCTCCTCTTCTTGCGGAACTCGAATTCATCCACGGTCCACACGGCCCCCTTCTCACTCTCCACCCGCACAAAGCATTTGTGTAGGCTCAGGTTGTGGCGGATGGCATTCTGTGGAAGGAAGGCCGGCCAGGCCAGGGGCAGGGGAGATGGGTAGGCAACCATCCTCCAAGGTCAGCACTACTCACCAAAAACCGGCCTCCTGCCCCTTTCCAGCATGCCTGCAAGCCCAGCCTCAGGCCCTCCCACTCCTGAACTTGGTGCAGCACCACGGTGGCATTTGAGGCCCTCCCAGCCACCGCCACCCCAAAGGACCTCACCTTCCAGGTGGCGGGGTGGTTTCTGAAGAAGGCAAACATGCGTGTGAACCAGTGGTAGATCTCGTTGAGGGTCCGCTGCTTTTCGGGAGCCTCCAGGATGGCCTGGGGGTGAGGGGGTGTGGGGGTAAGGGAGCCACTCCCTCATAGTTGGGCTGAGGGTGGCAGTGTCTGACATGGGTAGAACTGTGGGAGCTTGATTTGTTTGGATTTAGAAATGGGTTTAAGGGTCAGAGATGATGGCTGCAGTGAGGTTCTGGGTCAGGATGTTAGGATGGGGCTAGGGATAGGTAGGGGAATGTGTGATGTTGTGTAGGGATTAGGTGTGGGCCTAGGATGAAGGTCTAGGCAGGCCCTGATGAAAGTTCTGGGAAGGCATTAGGGAGATTCAGATGAAGGGGTTCGGATGGGGTGAGGACAAGGGTCAGACAGGTGTCACAAGGAAGTGGTTAGAGGCAGGGTCCAGCTGGGGGATATGTGGGCACATTGGGATATGTGAGGACTAGGGAAGGAGTTAGGATAATATCTGGGGTGGGTTTAGGGCCAGGGGCAAAGATCAGGTTGGTTTGGGGGCTATTTTACAGGTCCAGGAGGGGGTTAAGTATGGGGTTGAGATGGGCATAAGGGAAGGGGTGGGTCAAGGGCCTGAATCTGGCCTGGGTAGTGGTTAGGTTTGGGCTTGGGGCAGGTCTGGGGTGAAGCCAGCGTGGGGGTTGCATCTGAGACATGGGTTTGTTCGTGCAGGAGCCTGTACTAGGGGCACTCAAGAGGAAGGCTGGGACTGTGGGAGGCTTGTCCCCACCCCGTTTCTTTTCCTTCTCCATGGTCTGTGCTGCCTGCTTACCCAGCGGATGAGGGTGGCGTAGGTGAAGGGTGGCCGCATGTCGTGGAACTTGAAGTAATCCATGTTGTGGAAGAACTCTGTAGGAATGGGGGAGAGTCAGGTCCCATTCCGGGGCTCCTCGCCCCCTCTCCCATCCTCCAGTCTACAAGCAGAGTCTACGCAGCTAAAATCCTAAAATCCCTTGCTAACAGCATCAGGCTTCACCATCACAGTTCTTGTGCTGAGCACCGGACATCAAATGTATCATTTACTCTTTGTACCACTCCCACCTCAATGGGCCTTATTGTTTCCAAAGTTTAAAGGAAGTGGAGTATGCACACAAAGGGATGTAACTGGCCACGTGGCAGAGCCAGGATGACACTCAAGGGCCCTTATCCCTGATAAGCTCCTGGCCCCGGACCTTGTGGGTAGTAGGGGATTCGTGAGCTAGTTCCCTCCCTTCTGATGACCAAATGGAGTAGCTGAAGCCCAGAATGAGGGCTTCTCTCCCAGTCCCCAGGAGAGATGGGGCTAGAAATTAGAAACCATAGTGGGGGGCTTGCAGGCCTCGGAAATGCTGAGAGACAGCTTTTGTAAGCAGTTGTGTTTTCCCAAAGGCTGGGTGGCAGTGCTGGGGAAGAGCACTATTGGGGCTCCTGTCTCCCACCCAGTGCCAGTCAGGGGCATTAGGGGTTCAAGGGGCACTAAGTATGGCATGGGACATCCTTGCCTGGGAATGTGCTATTTCCATGGCTGCCCCAGAGGTGCCTCCGCACAGCAAACAGGCCGTCAGGGGCCTCCTGGGGGCTGGGCCAGGCTGGGCCAGTGGCGGCTGGGGTGCCAGTGGCCACGATGCAGCAGGAGCCCTTGTCGGATGACGCCTGCAGGAGGAGGGAGAGGCTGGTGATTCAGAGCCTTAAACTTTCCACTTGAATTTTAAATAAGTGTTTTTTTAAAAGCAAGGGAGCTCTCTTCTCAATTCGTCTGGTGTGGAATCCCATGAAGCAGTGTGAGCTGTATTTATTAGAGTGTGCGTGTGGACCCGTGTGTGTGTGTGTGTGTGTGTGTGTGTGTGTAGAACACCAAAGCTGGGGCCTCGAGCTGGGGTTGAATCAGGCTTCTCTTCTCCCCAACTGTGACCTGTGACCTTAGGGATGATGGTAATAACCTATTGAGGATTAAATCAATATGCTCTAGCAACGTTCTCAGAAACGGTGCCTGGCACCCGGGGCCTGCTTCATGGGTGTGTGACCTGTTTAATCACATAGATCCCTGCACTTTGTTTACTCTGTGGTTATCATCTTGAAATCTGAGCCCCGTGTTGTTATCTTGCACTGGACCCTGCGAGTTACATAGCCAATCCTGCCAGTGTCACGGGGTCTGTATTCAGTCGGTGTCTGGCTATTTGCTGTTGCTTTGAAAACTCAAGAGCATGATGTTTTGGGATCTTAGGGTCAGAGGCTTTGTAGTTGGAGGGGACAGATTTCCAGGTCTGGGAATGTTTGGAGCTGGGGACAGGGGCCCAGATGTCCTGGGGCCTGGGTGCAAGGACAAGTCCCCATCCCCGCCCCCCCCCCCCCAGCAGTCTGTGCCGCCTACGGGCCTGGCGTGGCTCACCGTGGATGGAGCTTTGGTCAGAGCCATCTTCCCAGCCAGGTGGGCCTGCATAGCACCCAGCTTCTCCTTCTCCAGCACCAGCTGTGAGGATGGGCACAAAGTGAGGCCTCACCTTGGCCATTCTCCACCACATCTTTTTGCTCAGGTTCCCTGGGAGTGCTCCACCCCCTCCCTTTATGCCAGCCCCCATCCTGGGTGAACTTGGCTCCTGGCACAGGGTGGACATAAGGCTTGCCCATCATCGCCCAACCACCCCTCCCCTACATCACCTGCTGTTCCAAAGACTGCACCACTTCCCTCTGGAGGAGACACTGTGCCCTGCCCTTCTCATCCAGGAGATGGTCCGCCTGGCAGTGCCTGGCTCGGGAGGAGATTCCATGTGGGTGACCATGGTGGACCTGGCTTCCTGGCTCAAATATTCCAAGTGAGGAGGGCCAGACACTCTGGGAGTTCTCTCTTCGGAGTCTCAGCCTCCCTCCCCTCTCTATACCTCAGTCTTCCTCTTATACCTGCTATTCCTTCAACACATGCTACTTGGCACCTCCTGGTACCAGGCCTGAGCTCACCAGCTGAGCCTGGCCAGGGTGCTGGAGATGATGTTGGAAGGCTGCTAAACTGAGAGCAGGCCAGGTAGGTGAGGGCAGGAGGGGCACCCCAGGTGGAGGGGACAGCCTGTGTAAAGGCCTGGTCGTGAAGAAGACAGGGTGCAGAGTCGCCACTGATAGTTGGGTTTGGTTGGAGAAGGGGTATGTGCGTGTGTGATGGGGCTGAGGGAGGCAGCAACAGCCGCTGTGAGAATCTAGGACTTTAGGGATCAATAAAATCAGGCTGGTGTGTTGGTATCAGGGGTAGCAGGGCAAAGCAGTTAGGAGTGTGGTTTCTGGAGCCTGGAACCTTCTGCCTGGGTTCAAACCACAGCTCTGTCACTTAGGAACTGGGTGATCTTGATCAAGACACTTAACTTTTTTTGGCCTCAGTTTCTGTATCTGTAAAATGGAGGTAAATAATGGTATGTACCTCTATTATGATGCCCCATTACACAGATGAGGAAACCAAGGCCCAGAGAAGCTAAGTAACTTGCCCAAGGTCACACAGCCAGTGAGTGATAGAGCTGGGATCTGAACCTACAGTCTCAGCCTTTGCCTTTTGCCTCTTCGCTACCTATGAGGCCTGAGCTGAGACCTGTACCACAGGCCTCCTCCTACAAATTGGGGGCCCTCCCGGACAGGATAGGGCCTGGGTCACTCACTTGAGGAAATCCTCTGGCTCCTCGAAGACCTTCTCACATCCAGGCCACTTGCAGACACCATTTGCCAGCAGTGAATAGGAGCCCTGGGGCACGGTTGAAAGGGTGCTGGGGGAACAGAGGGTGTTCAGGGGAGGGAATGCCAGGGCAGGGGTCCTTCCCAGCCTTGTCCACTGACCTGTCTTTCCGGGGTGTGCTGGGGCTTGGGAAGGTGCATAGCAGTGCCGGCTCCCTGGACACCCATTCCAGGCTGGCCACGTTGATTCCTGTAGGTCAGGACAGGGCACCTTTGGGGACTGAGAGCTCAGCCCACAGAGACTCTCATTTTGAGCTTCCCACCCTCCTGAGCTTCGCAGGCCCTGACTCCCAATGGGTTCTGTTGTCCCTCACGTCCAAGGCTTCTGGTGGAGCCGCTCAAAGACTGCCATTTGCAAGTGCTGACATTTTGACTATGCAAAGATCTGCAGTTCCATGATTCTGACATTCTGCGTCTTTAAGGTTCTGAGCCTGACATTTTTTTGGAGGTTGGAGTTTCCAATATGATAAGGCCTGATACCTCTGCCCTCCTGAGGGCTACCATTCAGCAGCCTACACTGCTCACGTTCAAGGACTTGGGGGCTCGGGTTCTGTAGAGCCGTGGGGTGGGGTGTTACCAGGTGGCAGGCCGGGCCGGGCCTTGAGGGAGAAGACACCAGTGGCAGCAGTGGGTGGTGGGAGGCTGATCATAGCTGGGCTGTCCAGTGGGCGCACCTGCAGCACAGGGGTCCGAGCGTGGGTATCCACCGTTGAGAGCTGGGGGCACATATGGGCTGTGGTTTAGCCTGCCCCCACCCAGTTCTCCTCCCTGCTCCCTCCTCCCTGCCCAGTCCGGGTCAGTACCTGGTGCATGAAGTGTGGCCTGTCCTGGAGGAGTGCCTGCAAGTGGGGCAAGGGGCCCAGCCGTGTCCCAGAGGGTGCCACCATGACTAGGGGCACTGTAGGCAGCTGGGGGGGGGGGGGGGAGAAGGCAGGCAGGTGAGATGTCATCCTTCTTCTCATTGGCCTACATGTCTAATTCCCACACTCCTCACCACAAGCCTACATGGCAGGGACTCTGACCATCCCCTTTGCACATACGAGGAAACTGAGGCTCAGGGAGAGTGAATGACTTTTTCAAGATCAAGCAGCTAATAAGTGGCAGAGCTGGCCTCAATCCTATCGCCTCAACTCTTTGGGCTCCAGCCCTCCCCTCTGTCGCATGGGGATGGGGTCACATGGCCATGCCTGTGGGATCCACCATGATAGGATCTCCTCTCCTGAGACAAGGATTGGGAGGTTGGGGAGAGCCTCGAATCTCTGAGACCTGCTAACTGGGGACTTTCTTGGCCCTGTGACATCTGCATAAGTCACAGACTTGCCTGGGACCCAGAAAACCACTTCCTGTGCCCCAGCTGGGCCCCCCGCCCAGTGCCACAGTAAAGGTCGGCACCTGTAGCCCCAGGTACCCCACCCTGCCTGCCCCATTCTGGGCCCTGGGCCTCACCTGCAGCTGTGATGGTGGCATGGGGTTCAAAGAGGAGGAGGCATGGGCCCCGCCTCGGAGGTCCCGGCCCTGGAAGGTTGCCCCTGGGCCCTTGGCCCCCAGCGGGTCTGAAGTCTTGGGTCCAGCCCTCCAGCTGGGTGAGGCTCCTGGGGATGGGCCAAGTGCCAAGGAAGGGGCCGAGGGCTTGGCTGGCCTGGGGTTGGGCATTGGGTCCTTGTCCGAGGGCAGGCTGTGGGGACATATGGGGAAGGAGTTACACATGTCCCTTGTGGGGTGTGTGTGTGTGAACTGCTCAACCACCTGAACCATGTGGGCACCTCTGTTGGTCAGAGCAGGCATTGGCTGGGGCATGTCCCCAAAGGCTCCCCAGCTGAACCCCAGCACCGGTCACGTGTACATGTGGCACACACCACACACACATTGGTGTCAGGAATACAGGTATGTGTGTGTCTCCACACATGCCCCGTGTGCAGATGTGCACTGGTCCAGCACTCGGCTTGCCTGTGCATGCTGGCACAGCCCTGGTGGCGATATGTCCTCCACAAGGGAGATGGGGGATTTGGGGTGGTTTGTGGGGCCTCAGCCAGGGCAGGTCTCAGCTTTTTTCCGCAACCATTTGAGGCTTGTCTCCAGGCCTCAGCCACCTGGGCCTCTCTGCACTCTGCACAGGCCACGTGACCTTTGCTGATCCTGCTGGGACTGGTCCATGACTCTCCTGGTGGCATTATTTTATCCCAGTGACCTGGCATACACAAGAGTGGAGGGGGGCATGGACTCAAGATCCCTCTGGCTGCTGTGAGAGGGACAGACTCTAGGAAGGTGAAAACAGGAGTACTGGTGAGGAGGCTCCTGTGATAATCCAAGCAAGTGACAGCTGGGGCACAGACCAGGGTGGTGGCAGTGGAGATGGTAAGAAGTAGGTGGATTTTGAGTGTTTTGAAGGTGGAGTCAGGAGAATTTGCTGGCAGCTTGGATGTGGTGGGGGGTGGTGAGAAAGGGAGGGTCAAGGTGACCTCCAGGTATTTGCCTGAGCAGCTGGAAGGACAGAGCGGACATCACCGGAGATAGGGACAATGGGGACAGCAAGGTTGGGGGTGAGGACACCAGGTGTGGATAGACACAAAGGGTCTGGTGTTAGACATGCCAGTGGAAATACTGAGTGGCAGCTGAGTACAGGAGTCTGGGGCCCAGGCAGGGGCGGGGTCTGATCATCTCTGGGCTCTTGCCCCAAACGGAGCTGACATGGCAGGTGCCAGAGAGGAGAGACCGGCTCTCTTGAGCCAAGGCCTGTGGGAGCATCTTGACTCAGCCCCCACCAGAGTTTATCCCAACTCTGCTGTCCAAGCCTGCACTCGTGCTATATGCCCTGCCTGGAAATCCTGCTCTTCCTCCGTATGCCCTATCTGAACCCTATCCAGAAAGTCCTCCATAATGGCTCCAGGCACCTTTGCTGAGCCCCAGAACCTTACACTCTGCAACAGGCAGGGCTTCAGTTTCTTGGAATCCCATTCTAAGAGGAAGCCAGAGCTGGAAGGGACTGCCTAGTCCAGCCTCTGTTTTACTGAAGGGGACACCCAGGTGCAGCGTTTCACAGTCCCATGGCAACTTGAGAGCTCCATATATTTCTCCAGAAAGTATGCATGTGTGCACATTTCACAAGGCCCCTGATGTGGGGCTGTGTGTGTGTGTGAGAGAGAGAGAGAGAGAGAGAGAGAGAGAGAGAGAGAGAATCCCCACCCCGCAGCACTGGGTTAGGCACACAGCTGCCGATAGTAGCCTAGGCCAGCACAAGGAGGGTTTAGGGGAAGAGTCGCTCCTTCCTTTCTTTACTGTGAGCTCACAGGGGTTGACAGAGCTCTAGTGCAGAGGGAGGTTGGAAGTGAGAAACCAGGTACTAAATTCTTAGGCTCTCGGGGTTAGAACATTACTGAGTGAGAATCAAGAGCCTGGGTCTACGGAGGCTCAGAACTCAGTGACCATGAGGAGGTGAACAAATGCATGAGGGCAGAGATTGAGGTGATGCTTCTAGAAGCCAAGGCATGTCAAAGACTGCCAAGAATCCACCAGTAGCTAGGAGAGCGGCATGGACAGATTCTCCCTCGCAGCATCAGAAGGAACCAACCCTACCTGCACCTTGATCTCGGACTCCTGGCCTCCAGAACTGTGAGACAATAAATTTCTGTTGTTTAAGCCCCCTGGTTTGTGGTAATTTGTTACAGAAAACTGAGTAAACGAATACCGATTTTTGGTCAGTTTATAGATGGTTTCTACCACTCTGGCCTGGCCTACATCGCTGGCCTGTGGTCACTTCTGAAGCTGCCTGGACACTTGGCTGGGGCTTATAAGAAATCTCCTCCCCAAACACATCTGGAATGGCCAGACTCAGGGAAGCATCAATACATTCTCAGAAAGGGGACATAGATAGGGTCTGTCTGGTGGTGGGGAACCTGGAGGGCCGGGCTGGGCAGCCGGCTTCCTGCATCGTCTGTTGGGGCGTCCCTTTCTGACTGTTTCTCAGAAGCTGCATGGAGGATGTTTCTGGGACACAGAGTGTGTTTTCATATCGGGGTCTGCATCTGGGCCCTGTTGTCACTTCCCCAGATTTTCCGCCATTGACGTCATGGCGGCCGGATGCACTGGGCTTCATCGGCACCAAGGAGGAAGAGAAGGGGGCAGATACCCCACCCCACGGGTTTCGTTCCGAGAATTGGCTGGCCCATCCTGCAGCTGGCTTGGCCCAGGTGGGGGTGATGTGGGTGCTTGCGGATGTGGTGAGTGACGTCCATCTGGCCACCATGACAAGCCCTGGGCCCTGTAGACCTGGCCCTTCTTGGGCCATGGAGAGGCCCAAGGTTTGATGCTTGGGGAGTACTGTGTAGAGCCTACAGGTATTGGGACCCTGGGGATCTTCAAATGGTACTATGCCAGAATCACAGAACCTCAGAATCACTATACTTCAGAATCACAGAACATCATTTCTTAGGTTCAAAGGATCTCAGAATCTCAAACCCACTCTATGGGGTTCAGGGGTCCAACCTCTCAATACAGGAAGGCCAATGTCAATGGTGTCCAAACTCACTAGAACTCCCTGAAGGACAGGAAGGTCACTACTTCATAGGGTCTCTGGCTTACCAGGCTTGGAATTGTAGCAAGTCTCCTCTTAGCCTCCCTCCTAAGTTCTGTGAAGGCAGGAGGGTCAGAATCATCTCCTCTCCTTCCCCCAGCCTGGGGCTGGGCTATGCCACTAACTAGTTATAACTCTCCTCAGGCTCATATGTAAAGTGGGACAGTAATAGTACCCCTCTTCTAAAGTTAATGCACATGAAATGCTTAACAAAATGTCAGCTCGGTAAATGAACACGTACAGGGCCTCAGTCTCCCTGTCTATTCTGGGATGATGTTCCCACACTCATAGCCATTCCATGAGGGATAGGGAAGGAGGCAGGGAGGTAGAGGCCAGCGTGCCTTCAGCTAGGGCCTGCCTCATGGCATGGAGCAGGAAAAGCCTCGGCCTTTGCCAGTAGAGAGCCCACTGCCAGGCTCTATGGAGGGGCTCCAGGATGGAAGTTACCAGGTTACTGAGGGTCAACTCTCGGGACATGGCTAAGCTCTACTCATAGCTAGACACAGATACATTGACTGACTTATGTCCCTCCAGTATCACCACCCTCTGGCCAAAAGGCCTCTGAACCCATGGGACTATGGGACCCCACCCAGACTAGCTCTTGTGAGGCTGGGCCCTACACTGGCCCATGTGGCCACAGAGCCTCCTGCCTGAGTAAGGGCCCAAGTCATGAGAAGGCAGAAGGAGGAATGGCAGCAGCTGGCGGGCAGCTCAGGTCCCCCTCCTCCCCTCATGGGTGCTGAGAAGTAAACTGAGGCCCATGGTGGGGGCAGACAGAACCAGGGTCTCACTGAGAATCCCATGGTCTGAGCTTGGGTCTCAACTTTGCCTCTGCTTCTCTGTGAGGCCTTGGGAGAAGCCCTCCTGCCCATCTCTGGGCCTCAATTTGCCCCTTTGTACACTGGGTGGGGAGAGGCATGGAGTAGATGAGGGCCAGGGCCCTTCTACTTTGTGTCTGGGTGAGTTGTTCATCTGTCTGCAGGGCATCAAGTTGACAACTGCCCCTCTGTCCAGGGGACTGAGAGACAGGGATACATAGAGACAGAAACAGAAAGAGACAGACAGATAGACATAGGGGAACAGAAAGACCCAGAGAACAAGAGATACAGAGAGATGGGAGAAACATGAGGTGGGACAGAGATAAACAGAGAGTGTGAGATGCTGAGAGAAAGAGAGACAGAGTGGCAGAGATGGGGGAGGGGAACTCATAGGAGCAGAAAGTCATAGAAGTACACACAAAAAGGGAGACAGAAAATGAGAGAAACAAAAAGGACAAGAGACAGAAACAACAGCACATAGAGATGGAGAGAGACAGAGAGAGAGACAGAGACAGAGACAGAGAGGGATGCCCCAGATAAGAACAGTTACTGTTAGCTGGTTTTTGGCTGGAGGAACTGAGGCTGCATCAAATAACAAGGAATAAGGAAGGGCAAGATGCTGGGGACCTATGGCCAGGGAATATATTGTACTGCAAAGCAACAATCAGCAAATCAGGATGGCCCAGGTATAAGAACAGACACTGAGGAACAGAACAAAATGGGAAGCTCAATCACAGACCAATGTCTAGAGGGAATCGAGTTTGTGATGAATGTGGCATTTCAAACTGGGAGACAGGGGAGAATATATTGTTTAACAAGTGTTTCTGGGACAATTAAGGGGAAAATAAAGTTATTCAGTGAATAATCAGTCCATTTTCCCACCAATTCCTCTCTGCCCAGTTTGAAATGTCATGATCATGGACCCTGCAATAAAATCCAGATCTATTAAAGAGATAAACGATAATATCTAATGCTGCCTTTGGGTTTACTGAATGCCAGACTCTATGCTAAGCACTTAACATGGTTAAGATATTTAATCCTTATAACAACTCTTTGAGGTAGGTACTACTAGAATCATCACAGTACATATGAGGAAATGAAGGTACAGACAAGTTAAATGCCTAGCTAAAAATCACACAGATGACTTGGTGTGAGGCTGGGTTTGTCCCAGACAGTCTGGCTCCAGTACCCACAATCTTAACCTCCACAGCAAATGGAAAAAATGAAGCCATAAAAGAGACTAGAAGCCAACACAGGCGAACATTTATCTCATTTTCAAGGACTTTCTAAGCACAAAACCAGAGACAGTAACCACAGAAGAAAAGAGTAACCCATTTGACTATATAAAAACATCATAGCATCACAAAACTCCATAAACAAATATAAAAAGTGATAAATTGGGGGAAAATATTTGCTACATATGTATGGCTATTGGAAGGTTAATATCCTTTCTAAATAAAAAGCTGTGACAAATCAATAAGAAAAAATGATGAACACTCTATTAGGACTAGGGATATGACCAGATGACTTAAGAAAAAGTACGAATGATCAACAGTATAAGTAATCAAAGAATGCAAATTTCAACAATGTGGTAATATTTTTTCTTACCTGTTATGCTGAGAAAGGACTTAAAAATGATAATACCCACCCAGGGGCTAGCTCGAGTACAAGGAGCATAAAACAGGACAACCTTTTGGAAGAACAATTTGCAGAGAGGGTAGGAAACCTTAAAAACGCACACACGTCTTGCCCTGGCAACTCCATTTTCAGGAATCCAAGGAACTAATCAGGGATGATTCTGGGGAAAATCTAGAAATAACCTGAACGTCTAATAATTGGCACTTGGTCAATTCATGGTTCATACCAATGTGAGGACAGTCTTGACAGCCATGAAAGATCGTCTGTTGGAACAATTTTTAGTGATCTACAAAAATGCTCCTATTCTTTGAATAAAGCAGGAACAATACCAACAGAGAGAGTGGTTCTAACTTGGTTTAAAAAAAAATACTAACAGTGAAGAGTCAGCACTTGCTAAGCCTGCAGAGATGAGCTCGCCCCAGCCCTGAACGACTGCTTGGTTCCTGGACATGGACTCTGGACACACACACACACACACACACACACACACACACAGTCCTGGGGTAGGACCACAGAGCTAAATCACGGTTGCCAGTGACTCAAAGTGCCCCCCAGGAGGGTCTTTCATGCCATGCAAGCACAAGTTCAATGAAATGCTCAGCCTGACTTGACAGCTCACAACCCTCCTTCGATCGGGGCAAACAAAACTGATGCTCACTCTTGTAAAATGTAAATGTCTTCATCAACGTTACTCAATACACTATTATTAAGCACCAACAGTCCAAAGCTCTGTGCTGGATGGTGGGTGGGAAGGCAGGTGGGGGAGGCTAGACAAGAGAGCAGGAGAGACAGTGGGAGATAGATGGACAGAGACAGGGAAGCTGGGCAGAGCCAGAGAAAGACAGAGTGGTGGAGAATCTGAGTACCTGGGAAAAAGACAGAAAGAGGGGCAGAGCAACATGGAAAGAGGGAGACAGGACCAGCAGACAGAGAGGGATGGGAGCTATCAGGAGTCAAGAGACAAAGAGGAGGGAGAGGTGTAGTTGAAATTTTCAGTTACACCTGGGCAGTGTTTCAGGTTGTTCAAGGCTCGGGAATTCATAAAGACGGGCAGTTGGCATATTTTAAAAGTCCTGCCTATCTATATATCAGTTTATTTATCTTTGCCTCTGCCCACACATTGATTAAGTACTTTACCTATCAGTCTTCTGGCATTGATTATTACTATTATTATTGTCAAAAATATCTTACCTGACTGGAACCACGGTAGTTGTGTGCGTCTTGATGGTACCGGAGGGCCCCTGCCTGCACCGCGCCCCCCCTCCCCCCGCCAGTGCCTACCTCTGTGCCATCTCTTTCACTGGACCCGCATCTGATGGGGGAGAGCAGGGACACTCACCTTCTTGAAGTGGACTCACAGAAAAGGATCAGCCAGGCTTGTGGGAAACTGTCGCATATCAAAAACAACTTTGCTTTTATACCGAGAAGAAAAACCACGGTGTGGAAGCCACAGACCTCTCTCTTCTAATAATCCAATTTTTTTTCGATGAGTATGTGTGCTGATAATCACAGGGTGGGGGGGGTTCTCATAGTTTTTTCTCTCTCTTGCTCTCTCTCTCTCTCACTCACTCTGTTTCTCCTCTTCTTGATTATGAGACTTAAACGGAAATTTTGAAATTTTGGGTTTTTTCTTTGCCCTTTACGAGTCATCTGAAAATATGATTTCTTCCCCTCACCACAGAGGTGAGAGGTATCAATGAGATAACAGGGCTCATGAGAAACCACAGTTTTTTAAACAAAAGTGTGTAGAGTTAGAAAAAAAAAAAAAACAAGGGAAAAAAACTCAAATAAATCACAGAGGCGTCCCAAGCAGGTAGAGACATCACTCTGTGTGTGTGATGGAACGGGAAACACCAGGGAAAGAAACTGAATAGGACTGGGTTTCCAGAAGCTTTGCTTTGCTCTATGCCTCAGTTTCTCCTTAGGGGAATTGATACGGTCAGCACTGCTCTTACTGCCCAGGGAGGGGGAGCTCTGCATCCCGTCTTCCCACAGAGGGTGAGGGGCATGGAAGTTATTTCACGGAGAAAAATGCAGGGAGTCCGTCTCTACCCCCCACCACCACAATTCACAGAATCTAAGAATCTGAGAATCACTGGCTCCTAGAATCCACTTAGCATCGCTGAGTAAGGAAAGGGAGAAAAGTCTTGCCTCATCATGTCGTAGAGCCCGAGAACTCAGACCTGGAGGGTATCCTACAGGGAAGGTCCTGACAAGGCCCCTGGTGTTAATGCATCCATTCTCATGATGGCCAGAGGCCCCCTGGGACCCCAGTCCCCTCATAGTCAGGGATATCATGACCTGATGCTTCTGAGGTCCTCAGCCTTTGCAATTTTCTACTTTGACAAATCCCAGCTTCCAAGGTTTTAGGATTCTAGATTACCGCCATCATCCCCATAGCTGACATTGATCTCCAGTTTTCCAGGTGCCAGACATAGTGCTGAATGATTCTCACAAATGATCACATTCAGTCCTCACTGCAGCCTGTTGCGGTCCATCTTGTCATCACAGCCATCCTACAGATGGGGAAAACGGAGGTGCCGAGTAGTTGAGCAACTTGCCCAAGATGACAGAGCTGGCAAGTGGGGGCTCTGCCTTCTTAAGGTGCCGGGCTTAAAAATCCCCAGGTTTCCTTGAGCCCAAAAGTCTTGGGTTTTAAATTCTAGGATGCAGTGACAGCGAAGTTCTGAGATTTGGAGATTCTTCTGTGGGCTTGAAGCTTGTGAGGTTTTATGGTTGTCCAAGTATTGGTAGCTGCATTTCCTTACTTCAGCAGTGACCCCCTCTAACCAATGGTTAACAGGGGAGACCAGGCCCCAGGGGCTTCTACTGATAGGCTGTGGCTGAGGATCCCAGCCCCCAGTTCCTCAGCGCCCTGCATGGCCCAGGGTTCTGTCATCCAATGTCTACTCCAACTCCTCTGCAACACTGGCTTCGGGCCTGGGGAAGAGAAATTGGAAACGGCTTTTTATTCACATGATACAAACCCAGGGGCCAAGAACCACTCCTTCGCCCCTTCACCTTTTTTCTTCCCCTCACCACCTCCCAAGTCCTGAAAAAAAGGAGAGCCTCTTTCCTTAACTCAGACTCACCTTTCTGGAAAAGCCTAGAGGGGGCCTGATGGCCTGGCTTTGTGAAGATAAGAAAAAAAAAAGGTGAATAGAAAAAAAAAAAGACCTAAAAAAAATCAGCCAACAACAACAATTAAAAAAAAATAAGAAACCAACCCTCCCTACCATTAGTTCAAAACAAGACTTTCACTGGTTGAGGCTTCTGAGTTGGTGGGACACATCTGAAGCCCAAAGATGGCCTGTGTGCGCAAGGCAGCCAGGGGAGGCACCAAAGTGGAATGAGGTTCTCAGATTGGAGGCCTGCAGGGACCTCATGTACGGCAGGGGCTTAACAGGTGTGGCATGTGGTTGTGAGCAAGAGGGTGTGAGGAGCTTGTTCATCAGGAAGGAGTCCTGGGGAGCTGACTTTAAGGATTTTACCAAAGCTAATGACCCCTTGCTCCTCATGGACTTGGGTCTCAACATTCTTTATACTCCCTGTATAACTAACTGTAAACTAGACCAGTTCTAGAGGTCAAGGCCTCATTCCTTGCCCCAGGACCTGTCCCCTCTTGAGAGAGGAGGCTGGTTTTCTTTTACAGGGTCAGAGGTGTGGGCTGCATCCTTCTTATACCCTCCCTAGGCCATCTCTCCCTTATTGTCACTCACTCCATGAGATGCGTGGCCAGAGAAGTAGGGGGATAGCTGAATGAGGATGGTGGCCTAGAGTACCAGGAGGCCACTTGAGTGGGGCCTGGTGTGTCGGTGGGGTGATGCTACTGCTGCAGAGAGCCAGGACCCTTGCAGAGTGAGGGATGGGGGGGTCAGCTGGGCAGAGAGGGGCAGGCAGAAGTCACCACCTCCTCTTTGTACTGGACTACATCCTCTTGTGTGGAAGACTTTAAAAAATTTTTTTTTCAGAGAGAGTGAGTAAGTGAGCAGGGGAGAGGGGCAGAGGGAGAGAGAGAGAGAGGATCTTAAGCAGGCACACTCAGCACAGAGCCCAATGTGGAGCTCAATCCCACGACCCTGGGATTGTGACCTGAGCCTAAATCAAGAGTCAGACGCTCAACTGACTGAGCCACCCAGGTGCCCCTTGTGTGGAAGGCTTCTGGGGGAGAGTACACAGGATTACACAGGCACATCCATGAAAGTCCCCAGAGAAGGGGAGGCCTTTGACAAAGACTTGAAGGAGGTGAGGGATGGAGCCATGTAGACATCTAAGTGACTCCAGAGGAAACAGCCAGCTCAAAGGCCCTGAGGTGGGAGTGTGTGATTTTCTCGACGTCTAGGAAGGTGGTCAGTGTGGTTAGAGTGGTGTGAGCAAGAGGAAGATGGGTTGGAGGTGAGGTCAGAGAGGGGACTTCGGGGTTAGACCATGCAGGACCTTGTAGCTCGTGGTAAGGACTTTGGCTTTTACTCTGAGTAAGGAGGAAGCCACAGGAGGGTTGTGAGTACAGGAGAGACATGAACTGCTTTAGGATTTAACAGGATCTCTGACTGCTGAGTGTAGAACAGACTGTAGGAGTGAAGGTGGAAGCAGAGGCACCAGAGACGAGGAGACTACTGTAATAGTCCAGTGACTGATGATGGTGCTGGCAGTGGAGAGGGTGGATCTGGGAAATATTTTGAATGGAGGGCTGACAGAATTTGTTGAAGGGCAAGAGTCCTGGGGCCAGTCTAGGACACAGATAATACCCTAACAAGAAGTCAGGAAAAAAAATTCTATCTTGTGTAAGCCCCTATTCTTTTGTGATTGTTTTCCTGTTACTTGCGATTGAACATATTCCTTCCTGATCCATGACCTCACCGTGGACACTGAGACTTGAGAAAGGGAGGTGACTAGGGGGGTAACCTTCTCCTTCCTAGGGATGCTGTAAGTCAGAACCTTGCATACAGTAGGTGTTCAGAAAACCCTCCCAGGATGGAGGGGGAAAGTATGAATGGCCATGCTCAGTGGGCAAAAGCTACATTTCAGTTTAAGGCAGGACCTTAAAGGGAGAGAGAAAGGATGAGGAAGCAGAAGGAGCAGTGCTTGTGGAAGAGGGAACAGCAGAGCAGAGATGGGGGACAGAAAGAGGGAAGTGAGGCCACTTTGGGGTGTGGAGTGCGAGACAAGAAAGACGGGACTTTGGTTTGTGATTACATTAGTTGATGTCTGCTAACATGTCCAACAACCAACTCCTGGTGGCATGCAGTCAGGCTCAGTGTTTTGCTGAGCTCAAGTTAGAAAAAGCTCATTTTCCAGAAAAGGTCAACTTCTCATTTGGCCATTCATTCAACAATGGTGCCAAGTCCTGGAGAATGCTGAGGGTGACAATCAAGGACATTCTTGGCTAGTGGCACTGCTCAAACAAAGGTTTATGGTGGGCAGGGAAGACCCAGTAACTGTGACAGCCGAGTCCGTTTTGCTTTCTTAAACCTCACACTACGGAGCAGTCTAGGGGATTCATAGCCCTGGGGCAATGAGAAGTCACGAAGGGCTAAGGAGAAGGTAAATCCAACCACAAGACGAACACTCTCCCTAACGGCTGCGTGCATTTTACGGATCTGTGGCCCAAGCACCCTACAGCCCAGACCGTCTACGCACCGTCCCCTCGTCTGGCCTCCTTATTATTGGCTGTTCATCCCCCTCCTTCACACAACCTACAATATCCCGGTTGGCTCTGCTCTTTCTCGTCCCGCTTCCGAGTCCTGCGGTCCAGCTACGCTTTCTAGCCTTGGCATTGGTTTATTTCATGCTAGCACCGCCCTTTGAGGCCCTAACTGCCTTCAGTCTGGCTCTCTCATTGGCTATCCGCCATCAATATCTTCCTGGCTCCCGCCTCCATGGTCCACTTCCATTGGGCCTGCCTCTCCAGTCCCGCCTCCGAGGCCGCTCTAACACCGCCCCTTGGTCTCTTTCTAGCCTTTGCATTAGCTAGTTCAGCCCTGTCATCGCCTCCTGAAGGTATAGTGCAAGCTCACAAGACTCCCCATTGGCTCGCTGTAGCTATTATCTTATCGTCATCTCCTTTACGCAACAGGCGCATGGCTCCCCATTGGCTATTTGCAGTTTCTGTCTTCGCGTCCCATCGCCTACGCAACTAAGGGATTTCCTACTTTTCGGGCCTCTCCATTCGCTCCCCATTGCCCCCATCGCCTGTAATCATTCCATTTTCCCCGTCGCCCACATGCCGCTCCCGCTCCCACTCCCCCACTACCTCTCCTACTTTTGCTCTTTTCATCCCGGGCCTCGCACCACACCTATTTAGCGTCCCCCTCCATTGATTCCCCGGCCATCCCGCCTCCTGCACCGCCCACTCTCGGGCATTCTCATTGGCTGCGTGCTTCTCCTGCACTTGAGTCACCGCTACGTCATCCGGGCGCGGCTCCCCATTGGCTCTCTGCTATACCTGTCTCCATCTCACCGCCTACGCCCCCCGTGAGCCGTAACCCCCCCGCGTTGGCCTTCCCATTGGCTGCCCGCCCCTCCAGGCCCTGCCCCCGCCGGTCCCGCCACCCGTGCCGTCGGTGCCGCCGCCGCCGCCGATATGGCGCGCCCGGCCCCTGTGGAGCCCCCGCTGCGGCATCCCGCGCCCCCCTCGCCGGCTGCGGGTGAGCCCCGCACCTCAGTTGAGGCAGCGGTGGCCCCGCGGAGAGTGCTGTTCGCCGACGAGGCCCTGGGGCTGCCGCTGGCGCAGCTGCGCCGCTACCGGCCGTGGGGCGGGCCCGGGGCGGGCAAGATGGCGGCGGCGGCCGGGCAAGATGGCGACGGCGGCGGGGCTGACGAGGACGACGATGGCGAGGATGGGGATGAAGGGGAGGAGGAAGAGGAAGCTTGCCCTGAGCCCTCGCCGCTGTGCCCCGTCCCCGCTGGCGGGGGGTTTTACCTGGTGCCCACATTTTCGCTGCCGCCTGCGCCGGGGCGTCTGGAGCGCTTGGGGCGCGTCATGGTGGAGCTGGAGGCGCTGCTGCCGCCTCCTGGAGCGGTCCCCGGGGGTGCCGGGGTGTGGGTGCCTGGGGGACGCCCGCCGGTGCTGCGCGGGTTGGTACGCGTGCTGAACCGCTCCTTCGAGAAGGCGGTGCACGTGCGGGCCTCACACGACGGCTGGGCTTCCTTCTGCGACCATCCAGCGCGCTACGTCCCGCGCAGCCCACCGGGGGCAGGAGCGGGAGGACCAGGAGCAGGAGATCCCATCCTGGATCCCGGCCTGGGCCTGGGCTTGGGCCCTGGCCAGGCGTCCGCCTCCTCGCCCGACGATG